AGAAAGGGAAAGAGAAAAGGAAAGAAGAAAGGGAAAGGGAAAGAGAAAGGGAAAGGGAAAGAGAAAGGGAAAGAGAAAGAGAAAGGGAAAGAGAAAGGGAAAGGGAAAGGGAAAGAAGAAAAGAAGGAAACTCCCTGCAGGTGGAGCCCATGCATCATCAGTTTCAAAGCCTCCCACATGATTATAATGTGCAGTTGTAAATGACATTATTTGGGTGCTGCTTCTTGTCTGCCCTTTCTTGTCTCATTTGCTGGTTCTCCTTCCTCCAGTCCCCAAAATACAGATGCTGTTTGGAATTACAGTTTTCTGTTTTTAATCCTTTATTCCAAATTTAATAATTAGGAATTCAGCAATTGAAAATCTTCCAAATTTAATTGTCAAGACTCTCATGATAATTCCTAAATCCGTGTATTCTCAGGTCTTGATCTCTCTCCAAGCTTAAATTCTAGACAACCTATAATTTATTATTCTCCAAAAATAATAATATGGCTTCAATTTACAAACCATATTAGAAATGAAAAGATTAGATGCAAGAGTCCATAATAAAAACTATCCAAATAGAAATGTAATAAATATAAGACATTGTCAAAAAGGAATTACTAGGAGTTAGTGACTGAGTTGATAGCAGTGATAAGAGAAGGTGAGTCTAAAACAGCAGTGTTTTTCAGCAAAGGTATTAGGAGAACTGGTGCTAATAAAAGGAATTGGGAGATTAGGCTAAAAAAAAAATAAACTAAATAAATAAAAGGGATAGAGAAATCAGAAGGGAAAGGTATAGTTATCATCATCACCATTTGTAGATGGGGGATTTGAGACTCAGCAATATTAGATAAACAGCCCAATGTTCCTATGTGTCTGAATTGAATCTCACTGTATTACATGGTTAATGGAATAAAACTTAATTTAAGCTTTGAATTTTTTTGGCAACAGCCAACATAATCTAGCCCTAAACCTAACCACTCGTATCTAACTTTAATGTCTACTATTCCCCAGTGCAAACTTACTGTTCCAGTAGAATCAATCTGCTCACAATCTTAAATGTTATCCTCATTCTAGTTCCATGTCCTTGACCAGAATGAGCTCTCAAAATGTCAGCTATTCTTCAAAGACCTAAAAGTCTTCCTCATTTATTCAAACCCCAAGGAAATGTCGCTTTTCTTTGCCAAAAAACCAAATAATTGGATCTACCCTGACTTGCACTTCTTTCCAAATGTTATATATATTCCTGCCCTCCCAATAAGGATTGCATTGAGGAAGGGGACAAAGGAAAAGGTATAGTTATCATCATCACCATTTTTAGATAGGGAATTTGAGACTCAACAATATTAGATAACTCATCTCCTCTACAGCGAGGAGGGGTTCCTTTGGAGGGCAGCATTATTGCTGCGGCATCTCATTAATTCATCTGTCTAATTGCTATGATGTACCAAAGTGTAGTAGGACTGAAGGCAGTCAAGACGGGAAACCATTATTCACCAGATTGTGCCTGATGAGTTCTTTAGCAAATTCAAAGGACGAAGAAGCATTGTCCATCAAGCTTTTGAGTTCTGCCTGAAATTTAAAAAGAAAGGCTTGTGAATATGACAAATGTGTAGTTCCTATACCACATATTTATACAATGCTTTATGTTTCACAAAAAATCAACATGCTATCAGTATTTCATTTGATCCTCATGACTGTAATCAATGTAATTATTGTCCATATATTATAGATGAGAACAATGAGACTTATAAATGTTAAATAACTTCAACCATATACTAAGCAGCAAGTTTGAAAACTGGTACACTCAAATCTAGACTTCTAGAGTTAGTCTTTTCTTTCAGTGCCAAGGGTGTTAAAGCTAAGACTTTAACAACTAAGGTTGATTCTTTAATCTGACATTCCACTTACATGTTGAATTCTCATGGTTCCTCCTTCCCACCGAATTACCCTTTATTTACATAATGCCATTCAAGTACCTCCTCCCTTCTGTTTTATTGTTTATTAGATCTCTTCTGTATCTCATGCTTAGAACACAATGTTCAGCCATTTCACAGTGTCTTCACCAACATCCCAGACTCTCACTTTCCCCTTTCTCAAGTTTCTCTATTCCTACATTGCCACCTATAATTTTGAATTCCTCTCATCCTTTTTCTACTTCTGTTAGTGGGTAGCTAAGCTTTTCTGGATACAATCATTAAATTCTTGACTGTTCTCACTAACCACAACAATCTTTTCCTGTCTGACTTCACAATTTGCAATGCACATCTTCCCAGAATCCTTTTTATTAATCTATTCTTTTATCCACAGTTGTTATCTTTTTTTCTTCCCCAGTATATATTCAATCTACTTTGAAATCATGTAGTCCCTGGAAAACTTCACTGAACACTTAAGAGAATGAAATTAAAAAGGCCAAACCTTTTTAGTATTATGAGGATACTTTTGCTCTTCAGCAGGGCTAGCCATAGGACTAAGGGTGGGAGAGAGACAAGTGAGATCCCCAGGGCACAAAATTTAAGAAGGTATTCACTCACCTCTGCACAATGGTACAAATGCTAATGCTTAAACTTTGATCATAGTAGTTTGCTTGCCTCATCCTAGTCTTGGCCCTGCCTCACAGAGTACCTGAAAAAGTCTCAGGGAACCCAGGGGTTGCAGATCACATTATGTTAACCGCTGAGCTAGAATATCTAAATCAATGCTCCCACTGAAAATAATTTTCAAAAACCAGATAAATTATTAACATTTTAAAAAAGAATACCAAAGAGATGACAATAAAGTAAAGAGTTAGCAGGTAAAAAAAAATGCAGGGGAAAAGCTGAACTCAGAGAAGTAAGAAAGCACAGAAGTATTTTTGCCTTGGAGACTTTACTAATTTTGGAAAATTAAAACATGTAGTTGATAATCTTGCCAGGAAACAAGGACAAAAAACAAAGCCCAGCACCACAAGGTGGGAAGTCTAACAGGAGACCATTTTCATAATCAGCTGGGACTCCAAAGAGCTACCTACAATGGCAAAGGAAGGGTGGTATAGAATCAGAACGTGTATAGTTCAGTTCCAGTCCTGTGGTAATTCAGAATCTCAAGTCTTAGATTGGTTTAAGGAGGTCTCAAACTGATAGCTCTCCCAGGCAACTGGAAGAGCAAATACATATCATTTAGTGAGGAAATTACCTTCAATACAAGGTTTTAATTATTCCTATAAGTAATTTTTCAAATACTGTGTCCAACATACAAAGATAACCTGCCATAAAAAGAAACTGGAGTCCAAGAGGGAGAACTAGGAGAAGCAAGTGAAAACAGAATCAAATTCACAAAAACTTCAGAAATTTAAATTATCAAACTCAGATCACAGAACTACTGTTGTCAGAAATGTTTTAAAATGTTTAAGAAGGCTGAATATGGTGTCTCACACCTGTAATCCTAGCTCTCTGGGAGGTGGATGTGGCTAGATCACCTGAGCTCAGATGTTTGAGACCAGCCTGAGCAAGAGCAAAGACCCCATCTCTACTAAAAATAGAAAAACTAGCTGGGCATTGTGGCAGGCGCCTACAGTCCCCATTACTTGGGAAGCTGAGGCAATAGGATTGCCTGAGTCCAAGAGATTGAGGTTGCTGCAAGCTCCAATGATGCCACAGCACTCTCCCCAGGGCAATAGAGTGAGACTGTCTCAAAAAAAAAAAAGAAAGAAAGAAAGAAAGAAAAGGGCGGTGCCTGTGACTCAGTGTGTAGGGCACTGGCCCCCATATACCAAGGGTGGAGGGTTCAAACCCAGCTCAGCCAAACTGCAACAGAAAAATAGACAGGTGTGGCGGGCACCTGGTGTCCCAGCTACTTGGGAGGCTGAGGCAAGAGAATTGCCTAAGCCCAAGAGCTGGAGGTCGCTATGAGCTGTGACACTACAGCACTCTACTGAGGGTGACAAAATGAAACTCTGTCTCTAAAAAAGGAAAAAAAAAAAAAAAAAAGAAAGGAAAGGAAAGGCAAACAGGAAAGCAGAAAACAAGAAACTGTAAGAAGTAAAGAGCTTTTTAAAAGCAAGAACTGGCTTGGCGCCTGTGGCTCAAGTGGCTAAGGCACCAGCCACATACACCTAAGGTGGCGGGTTCAAATCCAGCCCCGGCCTGCCAAACAACAATAATGGCTGCAACCAAAAAATAGCTGGGCGTTGTGGCGGGCGCCTGTGGTCCCAGCTACTTGGGAGGCTAAGGCAGGAGACTCGCTTGAGCCCAGAAGTTGGAGGTTGCTGTGAGCAATGAAGCCATGGCACTCTACCCAGGGGCTCAGCTTGAGGCTCTGTCTCAAAAATAAATAAATAAATAAATAAATAAATAAAAGCAAGAACTTCCAGAAATATAAAACACTACTAATGAACTTAATAATTGAATGGCCAAACAGTCTATGTGAGCTGTGATGCCACAGCACTCTACCGAGGGTGGCAGCTTGAGGCTCTGTCTCAAAAAAAAAAAAAAAGAGTCTGCTGATTTGCATATCTAACAAAACTGTGCCAAATATCTGCAAGTCATAGATAAGGTAAGCCCCTGGGATAGAAAGATCCCAGCAGCTACTGTCCTTCAGAGCTCTCTGACCCAGAGATTGCTCACTCATGCTGCTGAGACATCATCTGGACATGTGAGTTTCCAGTCTGATTCTTCTCATTCCTTGGTCTCCTACCTTTCTGAATAGTGGCCCCTGTGCTATAGCCTCTGGACAGTTGCATGCTATGAGGAAATTCCTCATTATCCAAATAAGGTTTGTGTGTGCTATCAGCACCTCATGGCTGTTGCTGGGCCTAACAGAGTCACACACAAACCCTTTCCCTTTTCCCTCCTCCTTCTCGTCTCTTAAAACAAAGACACAAAGGATCTGGCCAGCCCATCCCCTTGAGAAGTTGGTGCCAAAGGACTCTAACTTTCCAAGCAAGCTGTGGAATGTGCCTATCCCCCATGTAAAAGGGGTCTCTAACTGCAGACCCCATCTTTGCACTACCCAGGCATGACACCCTCCCCTTTCAATAAACCTAGCCTGAACATCTCTTCTGCCACCTTGTCGCTGGGCGCTATCATTTACATCTTTCAATGGTCATAACTTTTTCCTTGAAATCTCTCAAACCACCTATACTAGGTTTGACAGCAAGCCGGACACAACAAAAAATAAAAATTAGTGAGGGTGGTGCCTGTGGTTCAAAGGAGTAGGGCACTGGCCCCATATGCAAAAGGTGGTGGGTTCAAATCCAGCCCCAGCCAAAAACTGCAAAAAAAAAAAAAAAAAAATTAGTGAATGAAGGTCAGGAGCAGTGGCTCATGCCTGTAATTTTAGAAATTTAGAAGGATGAGGTACAAGGATCACTTTAGCCCAGGAGTTTGAGACCAGCCTGAGCAACACATAAGACCTCCATCTCTAGAATCCAATGTACTCAATTCTAATATGGAGGTAGTAGATGATCTAATACAAGGTGGGGGGTAGAGGAATGAGGCAGGGAAAGGGGAGAAAGAAGGGGGTTGGAGGTCATATATGGCAAACCTCTTGGGGGTGGGGCACAATTATAAGAGGGACTTTACCTAACAAATGTAATCAGTGTAATCTAATTGTACCCTCAATGAATCCCAAACAATAAAAAAAGAAAGAAAGAAAAAGTTTAAAAATTAGCTGGCCATGATAAAGTGTGCCTATAGTCCTTGATACCCAAGAAGCTGAAGGAGGAGGATCACTTGAACCCAGGAGTTTAGAGTACAGTGAGCTGTGATGAGGCCACTGCACTCTAGCCGGGGCAAAAGAGTGAGACTCTGTCTCAAAAAAAAAAAAAAGAAAAGAAAAGAAATAAAATAAAATATAAAAATAAATAAATAATTTAGTAAATGGCACACAAAAAATTAGTGAATGAAAAGTTAGATGTAAAAAAATTCTTCAGGCTCAGCGCCTATAGCTCAACCGGCTAAGGTGCTAGCCACGTACACCTAAGGTGGCGGGTTCGAATCCCCAGCCCGGACCCGCCAAACAACAATGACGGCTGCAACCAAAAAAAAATAGCCAGGCGTTGTGGCGGGCGCCTGTGGTCCCAGCTACTTGGGAGGCGGAGGCAGGAGACTCGCTTGAGCCCAGGAGTTGGAGGTTGCTGTGAGCTGTAATGCCACGGCACTCTACCCAGGGGGACAGCTTGAGGCTCTGTCTCAAAAAAAAAAAAAAAAAATTCTTCAGAGTATGGCATGGAGAGAAAAAAAAAAGAAAAGAAGGTAGTACTTAGATGACACAGTAAAAGGCCTGAAATATGCTTTACTGAAGTTCCTAAGTGAAATATAAAAACTAGAGGAAAGAACAAAAATCTGAAAACACAATGCCTGAAAATTACTAATGAGAATTCCTATTTCATCAATGTAATAAGTCCAACAAGGATAAATATTAAAATGTCACCATAATAAATAAGGTGATGGATGTGTTAATCAGTTCGATGTAAGCATTTCACATTGTATATCAAATCAGTACATTGTACCCCATAAATGTATCAATGTACACAGTTATGATTTAATAAAGAAAAAAAATTAGCATCTAGTTAAATCACAGTGAAACTGCAG